AAAATAAACTTTCGGCAACAAATTTACTAACAAAAATAATTGAAAATAATTTATATATTTTTATAAGATTTACAGATTTACAAGAGGCATCCCTCAGGCACCACTATTACAAACTAATAACATTGATATGAAATCACCTAAAGTTAAGGTGCAAGCAAAAAAAACACTACTAATACTGCTTTTAAAAGCAATGTATAAAACCTAAAACGGTAAAGTCATTAAAATGCCCAAATACATCCAAATTGTGAACCCACATTAGAAACAACAAAATACCCTAATACATCCAAATTGTGAACCCACATTAGAAACAACAGATAACAAAATGAAAACATGAAACTAATAAATACAGGCAAAACGACATGAAAATCACCCACAAACTTATCCAACAGACCAACATCTAGTAGTAGCCGCCTCACAGCAACATGGCAATAGCAGCAGCCTAGCAAGCATCAGCCACGAGGGCGGCAGCAGCAGCAGACCAACAAGCAACAACCATCAGCCACCAGCAAAAAAGAAGGATCTGGTAGCAATCTGTATTGATCAATGACAATTTTAAAACAAAGTCCATTAGCTTTTTTATTGATTTGGTAGCAGTCTCTGTGTGTATGTGTGTGTGAGTTGATTGATATGCAAGCACAAGTACTGGCCAAAACATAAAGCTTTTACCATAATCTGGTGAAAAATAAAATAAAATAAAAACCTTCGATTTCCAACTATACTAAAATCATCAAAGTAGCAGTAGATCCAATGCATTCTACACTCCAGTGAAAAAAAATGTTGTCCAAGTTACAAATCATTCACTTGCAACAATGGCAATAATTTACACAAGGCAAACTAGTTTCAGATTCTCTACTAATATTCAGAGAAGGTCCATTTCAATGATTTCTGATATGGAAGGCATATGCATTATCTCTGTAATATGTACAGAGGTTTCAGATTCTATGATATTACAATACAAAACTCCTAATCATTATCAAGTTCACATCATTCAATAATTTGGTAACAAGAAGAAAACAAATAAAATGATTGCATTCACTAAGAAACATAAACTTAAAACTATAGGTAAGAGGCAACCATACTGGTGATCAGCAAGTAAAAAGTGGCACCCACAATGAGCTACTTCCTACGTTTAAAGGAAGAGAGATTAATAGTATAAATCTATATTGTTTTTTCTTTTATTAATATATCCTATTTGTTCAAAATTATAATGTGTTTCATGTCTTTCCAAGTAATGGACATGTGTGTCCCCCTTATAAGTTCACCTGGTTTCAAATATATAATCACTTTCAAAGTTTTCTAGTTTGTTTTCTTCACTGATTAAAACATCAGAGGGTTTGACCTGTTTCTACTTGCTGCTGCAATCAGCAGGTTTTGACCATCAAGACATGAATAACAACTAGCAAACTTGTGACATTAAGATTGTGTTTGGGACTAGGATTTGAGTGGGGATTAGTGGTGGGAAAGGAAAAATAAGGGAAATGTGACCAAAATACAATTTCTATTTTATTTATTTTGCCTTCCTTTCTCTATACAAATCCTTCAAGCAAACATAGCCTAAGGAGGGGAGTTTTCAGTCTTAAACAATTACCACCATATCACACCTTGATCATCAAGAAGTTTTCCTATGTCACTCATTTCTCTTTTAGAGTTATTTATTTTATAGTTATTATCACCATCATTATTATTTTTTCATGTTTTCTTTTGTTTTATATCCTTCTAGGAGTAAAGCGACTAAGGTTACCAAAAAACTACAATGTGGGCCTCAGGATCAGGTGAATAGGTCCATGACCAATTTACCTACCATTAGCCCATCCAACTTTTTTTACATTCGCATTATCTATGAATTTTCAGAATGAATAGATAGAACAGTATTATAAAAACAGATACCAAAGTATTATTTTTAATAGTCATGGTACTTACCGGGGTTAGGGGAGGAGCATTAGGAGGCAGCTGGTAATTCTCAACCCGTGTAATAGAGACTGAAAGATCAGCAATTGTGGATCCCTGAATCAAAAAGGCCAAAAATATAAAAATATAAAATAAATCTAAGGGTTAATAGAAATTTTGAAATGGCACCAATTTGCATAAAAAATATTTCTAAAGATTGGGAAGCTTACATATCAAAGCTTCCCATCAGGAGGCTTAAAAAACAGTTCAGGTGAGACCTTGCAGTTCAGATGACAAAAAATTTCCAAGGAGTGAGCCCTTAACTGAGAATTTTTTCTTTGTAAGTAAAGTTTTGTTATCTTATTTTCTTTCTGCATTTTTTTGCGTACATCTTTATTAAACTGAATATTTTAGAAATTTCCTAATTTTACAAAATATAAGGCACATGTTTCATACATTGGGGTTTCATGCCTTTCGGATACGTTTGATTTCTACAACTTTGTACAGAATTGCATCGTTCAGTCAAAATCTTTTTATTTTAAAAATTAGTAATGAAAAAATTGAGATCAAGACTGATATAGAAAATCAATTGACATACTATCATAAGCATAGTTGTATCTGCTCCGTGTGATTCCTTGAAGGTAATGTATGCAAGCTGAGATGTTTCAGTTTCCCTGCAGAACGTGCCACAAACTCTATGGAGCATTGATTATGCAAGAAATTCAACACTGGGCAAGTCAAGAGAGCTGACCTTTGCATTTCAACATATTGGATATCACCAGAAAAAGAGAAGAATTCCTTAATATCCTTCTCAGAGGTAGCTAGTGAGATATTACTGACTTTAACTATTCTTACCTATGAAAAAAAAAAAGAACAAAAAGTAAAAGAATAGCTAAGTACATCTAATCACTAAGAAAATGTGATTACGAAAAAGAAATATTCAAATTGCATTAACTGAATTTTGAATGCGGCGTGGTTCTTGCCACTTGCAAAACAAAATTTAAAGAAATCAAAGCTAGTTAAACTGGCAGATAATAGATTCACGCAAGACAGAACCTTAGTCACTTCAACAGAGTCCAAAATTCTGTGCTCATCATCTTGGTGACATAAGGGGGACACACATATCCGAATATAGGAATTTGAAGACAAAAGTGCAGTCATTCACACTGATACCCAATTCATAAAAAGCAGTTCTTATAAGCACCAACTAGTGCTTTAGTCATTCACACTGATGTCCGGTTTATGAATAAAAAGAACTTATAAGCACCGACTAGTGTGCACTTTTAGTAAGTATTTTCCTCACATCTGAAATGTTAATTGTCCAGTTTGGAGTACTGCTTGGTGGTGCATCTGTTCCAATCTTTGAATTGGTATGAACCATGGCGACCTGCACATCATAGACCCAATTAGGTTCTTCTCAGGGAAGAAATAACACAAAAGTGCCCAAACTTACATGTAAATGACACGGTAGGAAGTGGATACATGATACATGATTTACATTAACACTTTGACTAGCCATACTTGAAAATGACATAAAGGGGTAAAAAAGTGCAAGTAACTTTGATAGACTATAATGCTTAGTACATACCGCAGTGATGCATCAAGGCTAACTGAAAATTCATTTTCAAAGATAAATCCAAGTGACAGCATTGGAGAGCAAAGTAATGATTGTTGGGCCCCTTTCCTAAGGTCTTAAATTTTCGGGACTACTGGTGATTGTCTAATAAGGTTTCAAACCATAGGTTAATAAAGGTCCTAGGTTCAAGTTCTATATATGCATTTGTTTCCTTGTTTGCATTTTGTTTCTCCACATGTTAGGATGTTTTCATCTCCACATGCAAGACGGGATTGCACATGACGAGGGTGTCAGAGAGCTTAATATGCATTGTTGGGCCTCTTTCCACACAGCTTGACCTTTTGGGATTAGTAGCGATCTAACAGAAGTAACATATAAGGTTGAATTCATCAATAAGCTAGGTGTTATATGAGCAGGCCCTCGAAAAGTTAGATATCATAATAAGTTGATAGCATGCATTATGAGATGCAAATAAAAAATAAAATAAAAACTATAAAATATAAAAATTATAAAATTATAATCTGTAAATCACTTAAATATACTATTCAATTCAAACATTCTGAATTCCATAATTTCATTCATATTTCTTATGCTAATGAAATAAAAGAGAAACAGTTACCTCAACAATCACTTGATTTCAAGAATCAGGGCCTAAAATGAATAGATGAGACTAGAATCCAATCTTTATTGAACAAATCTAACCTAAAATTGAGTAGATAATTACAGATACACCAAATTAGCAGAGCAGAACATCATATACAGCAGATACACCAGAACAGAGAATAGCAACAAACTGTTCAGCTAAAATTACCAAGAAATGGCATATAATTACCTTTAGAAGCATGGACCAGAATAACAATTAAAGATTTCTTCTTTTCCAATTCAAGAAGTGTGTTTAAGAAAAAATACAAAAGAATCAAGTTCCAAAATTTCAATTGACGATGATGAGGGGGAAAAAAACTTAAAATTAAGAGAGAGAGCCAAATTTACCTGTCCGGAAAAGCTGTAGAGTTGAAGGGCACATATGAATGGCTTGTTTCAAATTTACATTGCTATAGAGTAATTTCTTGTTACTACTATAAATGACAGTTGGCCTATCTGATGCCGCAAATTCATGTGTTGTATTCTTTGATGAGAAAGTGTGGAGTGTTATAGGCTGGGTCCCAAGGGACAAGATAAAGGACATCCTGTGTTTCTAGCTCAGTCAAATAAGCTTGTTTTCTTCTTTTAGAGCGTCTAGTTGATTCTCTATTAGAAAGCATTATAAAAAACACAAAACAAATTAATTGAAGAAAATTGAATGTGGCAACAACGTGTATAGAAAGCACGAACAAAATGACCCGTTAGTGGAAAAGATGGACAGAATCATAGTTACACTAAGTGTTTTGAATGCATGGCATTGAACATCTAACAGTCATTACATTTCATGCACATGTTGGTACAAAATTAAGCAAGCAAAGTGAAGACCACAAGACTGATCAATACTTCATCCTCTAACCGTGCAGCAATCCCTTGGGTCAAAGGTAGTCCGATTTCTCAACCTTCTAGGAAATCAAAAAGAGGTCACCCCTCGTTACCAATCAACAGGAACTAAGAAATCTAAAGACTAATCTCAACATATCTGTCAACAACCACATACACCCACCACATGGTCTGGTGTGCATCACTCAACAAAAAGAAAAAAAATAGAACACATGCAGCTAGAAAAAATACGGCTTGTAAGCTCTACAGATTCAATGTGCTCCAAAGAGTGGACCTGCAAACTCCAAAAACGAAGATTCAGCAATGGAAAAGGCACTTGTTTCAAAACCGTATGAAATAAAAATTTGCATCACGGTTCCAACATTATATTGAAGAGATTCAGCCCAAGAACTAAGATGCATGACCAATGATCCCAGCTTATTGTTCTCATCATACAAACACAAAAACCAGTATACCAGAGAGATGTGATTCAAGAATACTGTCAAAAACATTCTACAATTATAAAATTCCAGCTCATCTGCTTTATTTCCTCAAAGCAGTCTCAGATATCAGAAGCAAAATTGAATAGAAGCACTGTTTTATGATCAGCAATAGAATAGAAGTACTATTATATGCATGGATTTTAATTAGCCCTTGCAAGCCTCAAGATGATGCTCATTGCTTACCATATGTAGTTCATTTTGTGTGATTTCTCTTGCAGAAATCGGAACACATCGTCCCGAAAATATACCTACAAAAGTTCAAATTTTGAAATTGCTTGTCAATTGTTTGGGGGACAAAAGAAACCATATAATTTACCACATAACCCTAGTACACTGTTATGAAAATTTTATACTGAAACAGAAAATAATTATTGATATGGGTAGCAACAAACCAACTTCTGCAAACACAAACAAAAATAAAAGAAACAAAATTAACCAACACACCAGCAGTTGCAAGGCTAGCAGCAATAGCTCGAAGTCGATCTGGTCTTTCTAGATGTGGATGTCACTTCAATTCAACCTAACTCCAGCATATAAACAACAAGAAGCAGACAAACAATAAAATGAAGGTCATTTATAATCAGCATAAGAGATCACTATGACTAATTATTGAATAACACACCACATATGGTTACTATTGAGCAATGACATTAATCAATTTGTATTGCATTAGTTAACCAATGTAAAATATAAAACCAGACCCTATATTCACTACCATAAATGCAAATCAACTGATTTTTTGAGTGAAACATTCACCAATTATGCTAGTACACATTCAAATGTAAAAAATAAAATAAAATAATAATGATAACAACAACAACAATAAAAAAGAAAGCATAGCACATGAGACCTGCTCACTTGTTGGCTAATTTAAAGTTAGCTGTATAAAAAAAGAAAATGTGCACAATAGCAATATGAGAACTCTTAAACCTATGAAAAGGTTCCTCCATTCCATGAAACATCCTCCTGTTCCGCTCACTCCAAATTATCCACATAAGGCATAAAGCGGCCAAGAGCCACGCCTTCCTTCTCTTTCCCACCCTTTTATCCCACTAAGATTGCATAAAATCTGCTCCCCCTCGTAAGGAAAACCCAAATTTTACTTCGTAATGAGGTTCAAGTCAGGTAGAGAAAAATATTCTAACACTTATATCAGTCCACATTCCCATGCCAGCTAGCTAACTGCAGTTGGGATTTTCAACAATGGGATTTATATCAAGGCATGATATATCATACTCCAATTGTGCATGTTTCACTTCTGTCACTATTCCATCACCAATTTGTAGGTACACTAAAGGACCACCACCAGTAGCCAATAAAACCTGTTAGGTACACTAAATGACTATCCCATCACCATTTTCTAGCTATTGTAGCATTAGTTTGCTCCTGGAAGATAAGGTGTTCCATTATGCATGAAGACTACTATATTATTCTAATTTCTTAACCAGAAGTCTAACAGATATCTTAACCACGAGTTTTCAACGTTCATATAATATTCAAATTCATTATAGGCTATGAACATATAATACAAATGAAAAAATATACCATGCATACACAGTCTAGTCTAAAAATAAGAATATACTAGTTGTTACCTTCCCTTCAACATGCATGCCCGGCAGGTGCAACTGCACCCACATTCCGACAGGTGCAACTTCATCAGATGGATTGGCAGTATGCACGCCTCACAGCAACATTGCAGCAACATCAGCAGCCGCAGCAAGCATCAGCCACCAGGGCAGCAGCAGCAGCAGCCAGCAGAATTAAAGATGAAGCCATTTTTTCCTTCTTTTGGAAACAAAAAATGAATTTGAAAACAAGTGGCATAGAATTACCTTTAGAAGCATGGACTAGAATAACAATTACAGATTTCTCCTTTTCCAATTCAAGAAGTATGTTTAAGCAAAAATACAAAAGAATCAAGTTCCAACATTTCAATTGGCGATGATGAGGGGGAAAAAAATTTAAATTAAGAGAGAGAGCCAAATTTACTTGTCCGGAAAAGTAGCAGAGTTGAAAGGGCACATATGACTAACCTCTTTCAAATTTACATTGTTGTAGAGTAATTTCTTGTTACTACTGTACATGACAGTTGGCCTATCTAATGCAGCAAATACAAGTGTTGTATTCTTTGATGAGAAAGTGCAGAGTGTTATAGGCTGGGTCCCAAGGGACAAGATAAAGGACAAAACCTGTGTTTCTAGCTCAATCAAATGGGCTTGTTTTCTTCTTCTAGAGCGTCTAGCTGATTCTCTATTAGAAAGCATTCTGAAAAACACAGAACAACGAGTATTCTAGGAAGAGAAGCAAAGAGAATGTACACATGCATAAATACTCGGCTAAAAGGTGATAAAAAGAAACTAGACTTAAATTCAAATGCCATCATAACAAATTATGAATCATTATCTCCATTGCCACCAATCATTGTCAATTCCTTCTTTCCTATCCACAATGCAAATCTTGATTAGCCTTCCTAGTCTACTGTTCACATCAAATTCATTCTTTCCTATCCACGACTGCAAATACACTTACAAATTGAAAGAGACAAATTAGCAAAAGAAGAAGGCAACTTTGGATAAGGTCATGATAAAAGCCATGAACAAACCATATAATAAGACGGAGGTTTGCCTCATGCAAATGGAACTTATAAAATTTCCTTTTCATTTTTCAGAAAGAGAGGGTGCTAAGAACTTACTCGGCAAGTTTCTCTCATTCTCTTAAATTGCTAAGGAGTCTTGATCTTCAAAATAGAAAATTAGATGTTAAAAAAGAATTCAACAAACTGTCTAGTAAAAAAAACCCCAACTTGAATAGAAATTCAATTTTAACTTGAAGAACTATTTTTACATACAAAAGTGTACCTCAACAGCATGCTGAAGATCACTGTTGGGCTCAATTTTGGGGATCCCCTGCAGTTAATAAGAATTAAGTTCAGTGTTTCTTTACATTTATCAACAATATATATATATATATATATATATTTCATGTTACATTCCTAAATTTAGTCATGAATTGGGTAAGTGTCAGAAGGAAGTGAAATAGCAATAGCAAGCCTAAGCCTACGTTATGGAAAAAATAAATAAATGAAACCTTAACAAAGTCTAACAAACAACTAAAAGAAGGATAGGAAAAGTTCAAGAAGGATAGAAAAAGAAAGGTATATAGTAGGCATATGTGCTGTTTCTCTATTGATTTATGAAACTCCATGATTCCAAACATATCTTCATAAAACTGTACTACTAATAGCTTGATAATACAAATAGTTTTATCAAGCTATTACCTACAATAATATAAATAGCTTGATAAAAATCTATTGTAAATACCTCAAGGAAGAATGTGCAACCTCCTATACTTTCGTATATTTCTTGGGCAACTAACATAAAACTTTTTAGCAAGACTCCAATCAAGAGAAGCGGGTGACTAGTCAACAGGTGTCCAACAGCCAAACTACCAATCAAGAGAGGCATCTAACATTTAACACAATATCAAGACCCCACAGTACCTTGTCTCCTAACCACGGCCCTGACAAAACTATTTCCTATATATCAGGTGGTAGAGCCAGCCTTTAAACTTTTACCCTTTTCAATCAACACCAGCATCACAACCACAAAATGTTAGGCTTATAAATCTTAGGATTCACAATCCCACAAGATGCCATGCTGAACAAGCTGTGGTCAAACTCTTTTGGAACTTGACCTCACAAGCATCTAAAAGAAATTTTAGACTTCTCAAAATCTAACACAAATACTAGTATCTCATAGTGGGCAAATCCTTATGATGTAGCGAATATTAGGTCCTCAGCTAAAGCAAGGTGTGGAGGAGCAAGATATACGCACTGTTATCCCCATTTTTAGATAGCTATCGATCAACCTACCACTGACTAATTGTTCAAGTACAACCAAAACTTCAATGAGATATCTACAGCTCCAAATGTACAAAATTTACCTCAAAATGTAGGGTTAACTGCATGCTAAAAGTAAAATGTATAAAAGCAATTAATCATCAATGTTAAAATCTCAAACAAGTGTACTAATCAGTTAATTTAAAAATAAATAAATAAAGATTAACAAGATGCTCCTGCCAGTGTACAAACTTTTCATGAAATAGATAGCATGCAAAACCACAACATAAGCTAAGTAGAAAATTCAATATGCAAGTAGGGGTAACATGAGATTGAATTATTAATAATGCCATACCTAAATCTTTTCTTGTCTGTTCTGTTTTCCCTTGTTCTTGCAGCCTCATGTATCTTTCATGACCTTTTTGTTTCTCTATCTCTTCTCTGTGAACAAACAAATAAATAATAGAAAAAAATAGACATAAATCCAAAAAGTCGAAAGGTCATATACATGGCAGCAATGCAATCCAAAATTATTGTGTTTTTTGGATGGGATATAAGCAGTTTACTTTCATACTTTTGAGAATGAGTATAAAAGAAAAAGTTTAGAGGTCTAATAATTTAGGGTAAATTACACTCACCTCCGTGATATTTGAGAAAAACACAGTTAGCCCCAAAATTTTGGCATAATTATATTGACCTCCCTTTAAATAAACTTTCTATAGTCTCTTGTAGATGGATTTCGCGCATTGGGCTCACAACAACAATGGGATACAACGTGAGCATTTTCTATAACTAGTTCTGCCCAAATTCATTGTGCGTTGGGAGTGTGTAGTTGATGGGTGTGATGAGCTCAAACTAGTAATGAAATCAATTTTCGGTGGCTATGGCTATAGTCGGCTGGTGTTGGGTTATCCTATTTCTCTACAATTTGTGTATGAATCCTACGTAATTGTATTTATCATTCATAGACCAACCGACTCAACTGCCTCAATCAAACCATCTCAAAACACTATGGTTTGGCAGGGTTATATGCTTTGAATGGTTTGATTTGGTGCCCTACTACAAACAAAATAAAAAAAGATTTAGTAGAACCCAAATTTTGATCTGAACCCCAACCAAACCAAACCCCGTTTAGCCCCCACTCTCCCTAAATCAATATGATAAAGTAAAAACCTTACTTTTCTGTTCCAACATCTACCCTCAACTGTTGAAGGAACAGTTTGGTTTTGTAAGCCACTCAAATTGACCTCTTTCAATTTGAAAACTATTATACAAATCCCTCAAAAACGAATAAAACAAGCAGAAAGGACAATCATCTTGTTATCACTCCCAAGAAAACACTGAAATTTATAACTATAGAAGTCAGCTAATTATCAACCTTTTTTTTTCTAACAAAATCAATTAACTATAGTTGTTGGTTTCTTTTCTTGTTCTTTTTTTTTTTAATGATAAAAAATGGGAAACTGCCCTTATTCATCCCTTAATATATTACAAATATCAACTATTCCAAATCATATATTAAAAAAAAACACAAATAAAAATAATAATAATAATTGATATAACTTTCTGAAAAAAAAAATAACGTTCCCAGGGTAGTCATGCATTATTGGATGTTATGTTTATTGCCTCAAAAATCCAATTTCACCATCATGGAACATTCTTATCCGTGAAAGAAGACCAAATCAAAAGAATAATTCAAAAGCAAACCAAAAGTAGAAGAATTTGGGGAAGAAGGCAAGTATTAATTTTTCGAAACAAAAATTGAGAGAGAGAAGCAGGTGAAGTGAGATACAAAGCCAAAAGGGAACAAACCTATAGGGGCAAACTGAAGCGCTGATTGTCTCGCACAGTAGCAGCAAACAGCACAAACCCAACGATCAACAAACCTGTATGCGGGTGTACGGTTGTGAGGGGGAGAGACTACCAATTGTGAGAGAAGCTTGTGCAAGAGTGAAAATCGTGCTGATTGATGAGGGGAGATTGACGAGGGGATTTACCTATCTGGAAAAAACAATTTTTAGGTTTTTTTTAAAAAAATTAAAATTAATTTGAGAGCAATAAGAATCAAAATTATATTTTTAAAACGGAAGCCAAAAGTAAGCACACTAATAGCAACGCTCATTGTGTTGCTAAAACGGAAGCCTTGCAGCTAAAAGTTTTGAAATTTTGGCGCTAACCAAAAATTTTGGCGCTTAGTGAATGTCATGTTTTTTTAGCGGCAATAGCAATTTGCGTCGATAAAGGTATACTTTTACCAACGAAATTGATCACTGTGTCGCCAAAAATATACTTTTGGCGATGAAAAATTGATGTCGTTGCTAAAAGTAGTTGCTAAAAGTGTAATTTCTTGTAGTGACTGCTGGTGGCCGTCGGCGACCCCTACCCTGAACTTCCTTTTTGCTGCAACAGAGAGGAAACAAAGCCAAAGTAGTGTATTCTCAAAGTTTATGTGCATTGCTTCTCTCTTTATCATTACACAAGTTCAAAGGAGTGTAATTCTCGGCCCTCAAACCATCAACCAAGCATTTTCAACGCATGATGGCTAAGGATCCAAGCTTGCACAAGTTAATGAATGGAAAACAAGACTCCTATCATGCATGATCAGGGGTGATGGTGACCAAGAAAAGTGGCACGTTTCATCACTTTGAGTATAAAACATCCCATTTTTCTCTTGTTCGAATTAACGTCCGATCCGAACACATGCAATGCAGCACGAAGATGCTTAATCCTGCCTCTTTTACTTTGTTCATTTTGTTTACACATTTTAACTTACCAATCCATTCTTTAGTTGATTATTGCAAAGGGTGAGTGTCCTCTAATGGAAAGTGGGCTTAAACCACAAGTACCTTGAGCATGAAAGAGACCTCATGCTGTTGGTATTGAACTCCTGAAGGAATTAAACCATTAAGCATAAATGTCTCAATTTCACACTTGAGCTAACAAGGGGTTCAAAATCACTTTCAAAATAAATGAAAGAGTCAAGAATAGAGGGAGATTGCAGAGATTTCAGTGCTGAAATAGAGTGCAAAATGACACTAAAACATGCAAGCAACTCATGCAATTCATGCTAAAAAGCCTAAAACATTAAGCTAGTGAAGCCTCTTTGCACTACAACCACATAATGAAAGCCTCAAAGGACCAAACCAGCTCAAGATAGGGCTAAAACCAGCCAAAATAGTAGCAAAAAATGTTGAGATTAAGGTCCAAAATGCTAAAAAACACATGCTCACATGTTAAGCTATCTGGGCATACAAACAAGACACAAGGAGGGGTGGCTAACCCCTTCAATTTTGGACTTCAAAACCAAGTTTTTGCCACTGAAATAACTTGGAATTTTAGTGGTTTAAAGGCATAAAAAGTTTGATTTGAATATGCTAAAAGATGGCGCAAAAACTTACATAATTAAGCAACAAGAAGGGTGTACTACCCCTTTTCACAAAATGGCCTAAAACCAGCATGTTAAGCCTCAAAAACCAGAGTTTTTTGTAGTTCAACACCAGCTCAAAAACAATACAAAAGGATGGCAAAATAAGTATTCAAAGCAAGTACACTAAGCAAGTGAACTACTTCTTGAAGCTCAAGCACAAAACAACCCCAAATTCCAGCTCAAACCTCCTTCAAGAGCTCAAACTAAACTCCAAAGAACCTCAGCTCAAAGGTGAGAGTGTTTGGTTAAGGCTCTATGTGCAAAGGTGTAGAGAAACTAGCCTTTAAGGCAAAAATAAGAAGAGTGAGAGAGAGAAATTTTATCCAAATTTTCTAACCCCCCCTCCCCAAAAAAAAAAATGGGGGAGAGCACCCCCTATATATAGAAAATCAAGGTTTAGACTTGAAATCATCCTGCCATACACGTGTATGTGTAGACACCCTATTTTTGACTATCCTCAAGACTTGGACGTCA